TTTTTGGAGAGATTTTCCCTGTAGGGCACGTGCGCTCGCCAGACAGAGAGAGACAGAGAGACAGAAAGCGAGAAATCACCCCCCAGGGAGGATGGTCACACCGCAATCCCTTCTCCTCCATTCTCCTCTCGGGATCTTGGGCACGCACGCACACGCGCCCGGCGTGAGTTTTAAGCCACCGGGTCCAGGACGCAAACCGCGGTGACTACATGGGAGTCCAGCGACATAGCCATTACGCTAACTGCTGGTCCTTGTAATGGCCATTTCTACCTTACTGTGCCCCACTGCTGGGCAACGGACTTGCTGGGGACGTTTCTGCCAGAGCGTCACTCACCACTCACCTGTCCCCACCCAGGGCATGGCCGGCCCCCTGCACCAGGCTCCATCCTGGGTTCGCGGTGCAAACACAGGGTAGGACATGGCCCACGGCAGTGCGGTTTCCCAGACGACACACGTGGGATCCCTGGGGATACTGACAGACTAAACATCGTAAAACTAAAGCTTCCGCCTCTCGTGGTGTCCGGTAAGACAGGGACAGGCAGCGGACTAACGGAAACTTGTGCACGCAAGAGGCCGCGAAGGCCAGGGTCTGCAGAGCAAGGACGTCTCGAAACTCACAGTGTGGAATGGGGGGACACCCGGACAGACAATTCAAGAGGATACCCGGGTGGCAAGTCAGCCGCAAAGGTGCTGAGTGTGGTCAGCTCTTGGCAGAGCCCTGAGGGGGGCCACCAGCAGCCACCCTACACCAGGCAGTGTCGGAGACAAACACAGTGCGGGTGCCAGAGTGTGGGGAGACGCGGAGAAGCTAAGGCCTCGTGCAGGGAGGTGGGGTATGAGGGGGCACACGTGGCCTCCTTGGGGAGCGGCTCGGCCGTGCTGTGAGAAGTTCCATGCCGGGGAGCTGCAGCCAGGCGTGGCATTCTCAGGATTCATCTCAGAGTGATGGGGACGCAGGCTTGCACGGACACCTGTGCACACGCTCCGGCACCTAAACCAGGACTGCGAAAACTGCTGATGAAACGCTGCTGCTTGGAGGGTGCAGGAGGTGGGAGGGGAGGCAGCACTGTCCTCATGCGTTCACTGTGGTTGCTGGCACGCAAACCCGCACATGTGCCGGCGTTGGGGACTAGACATGCCCACATGGGACATGGCCAGGGTAGTGCGAGCTGAGCACCTCGTGGGACATGCTAACATCGGCGGGGTGTGCTCTGGTCCTATGGTGTGGTGAGGTCGTTACGGAGCTGACTGGGGACGGGCCCCAGGCTCTCGCTGTACCTCCCGGCTGCGCAGTCACCTGCAGTGATCCTGAACAGTTGACGGTAAGAGACACGGACAGTAATTGTGGACAGGGGGTGAGGACTACGGGGCAGTGCCAGGACGCCCTGGCAGGCAGAGTGGCCCAGTGGCCCAGGGCTCCCGTCTGGCCAGGGCTCTTTGTTTGCCCTTGAGTTACCCGCTAACCACAGTGTTTAGGGCTCCCGGCTTCCCTCCGACTCTGCAGTGAGCAGCGTATGTGACAGGGCCACCAGCGGCCGGGGCCGCCATGCTGCCTTCACACCCAAGTAGCCACGACGGGGGTGAAGCCAGCAGGGCGCTACCCGACACCCCCC